TAAACTATATTAGAAGCCAAATATATGAAACTAATAAGATTCAAGAAAGAACAAGAAGAGAATAAAACACAATAGGCTAAACTGAACCAAAAAATGCAAGATAAAATGTTTTTTGATTATTTCTTCCAGAAATCGATTTTTGTGGCAAAAATCCATGCCAAAACGATGGTACATGCATTCGAACAGATATCTATTACTCCTGTAAATGCAAAAATGGCTTCAGTGGGGACAACTGTGAGAACAGTAAGTATAGTCTTTGCAGCTATAAGTTTGAAGAATCACAACCAACCGGTGTACCTTGCGAGCCGAAGCGCCATCTTGGGTAGACACAAACATGACGGAGTCACAGGATTTCTTAAAGTTAGCGCGAATCGTCTTCCATACTTTCAGTTTGGACAGAAATACCTTTAACTAAGTACCTCACAGGTACTATCAATCTATAATCTATTGTATGCTTGACGCATTTAAACGTATGTAGACAATAACATGAGCGCGCACTGCATTGCGGTTGATTGGGATTCTTTAACTAAGTACCTCACAGGTACTATCAATCTATAATCTATTGTATGCTTGACGCATTTAAACGTATGTAGACAATAACACGAGCGCGCGCTGTATTGTTGTTGGTTAAGATTTTTTTTAAATCTTAGATATCTATATATTAACAAACTTGTATGATAATGTCCTCCAGATATAGACGAGTGTGCTTCGAACCCATGTCAAAATGAGGGCAATTGCCATGATAGAGACGGCTTTTATGAATGCGAATGCAAAAAAGGATTCAATGGAACGAACTGTGAAAAAAGTAAGTAAAACTTAAATCTCTCTAGCTTTAGTCTGGTGATTTCAACACAAACTTAATTCCCTATGAATTTCTTGCAGATGTAGACGAATGCGTTTCAAATCCTTGTAAAAATGGCGGTGTTTGCAAAGATGTAATCGGCTCTTACACCTGTCAATGTAAAGATGAATTCGTTGGGAAGAATTGTGAAAGTAATTAAGAATTTTAATCTCTTTTCCTCTTTCTGCTTGTCTTATTCCAATATCGAGCCCAGGGTCTTCACGGCCAAATATGAGCGGTCTCTTACGCTTGTGAAGACCGCTGACTTTCAAAAGTGCGGTCTCTGGCTACGAGATGGGTATCCTTCTATTGTTCTTGATTATAACAAAATGATGATTTCAGTTGATACAGACGTCGCTATCAAGATATCGCGGGCGTCAGTAGAGGATTACGTGTTGGTGAAGAAGACGTTCCCGAAAATTTCCGAATTAACAGTGTGTGTGTGGGTGAAGACTGCAGACAAAAGAGACGCCAGTACTATTTTTAGTTATTCCGTGCCTGACAATGATAATGAACTGACGCTGAATCGCCCTAAGAACCTTCGGGTTTTYATGGATCGAAAGAGTTGGTAAGTACAAAACAGACTTTCCCTTTCCTGGCATTATTCGCTCTTTGCCAATTGTCTTGGAGTATACAGGAGATCGAACTAACTGAAATCAGTGTATCATTACTAGCTGTATATAAAGCTGTATATAAAGATGTCCTCGTTCGCTAGGCTCAATGAGCCCAAGAGACCTCACTAAACCACCGTCCCTTTCCAGCGCTATTTCTCCCCCTTTTTCACCCAAATCAGAAAAAGGTGTCAAAAAACGTCAGTCGAACCAAGGACTGTTACCAAATCGCTGCTCTATAGACTATACAAAAATAATAATATCAAGCCCATTTTTTACTGAGGAAGAAATAATTGCAGAATAATCCAGTTTCGAATTCTCCAATGCTCTGTGTTAGCCTCATTTGTCCACAAAATATTCCTAATTGTGAGTATMAAAGTGTGAGATTTCAAATCAATTCTATTGTCTTTCTTTTCAAATTCCATGCGTTTTCTCGTGCTATCAATAAAACAAAAGAATATGTTACTTGGTTATGAGGCTAACACAGAGCAAACCAGAACTCGAAATTGGAGTATTTAATCCACGAATTGTACTTTCGGTGCGGATTTTTGTTTATTTTTCATAGGAGTACTTCAGTGGATATAACGGACAACCTGTGGCACCACGTTTGTCTAACCTATCACTACTGGTTTGGGAATAGAGCACGCATATATCTAGATGGGATAATGCAGAAAGGCACGAGAGATTTCAATACACAGATTCGTGGAAAAGGGAAGCTGATCATTGGTCAAGAGCAAGATAGTTTTGGYGGAGGATTTGATAAGAACCAAAATTTCATTGGTGAACTTACAGGACTGTATATATGGAAAAAAGAACTTGGWAGTCAGGACATAAAGGCTATGAAGGAGAAATGTAGTAAGCCCATATCGGGYGCAATCATTAAATGGAGTGACGTCATTTCCRGTAGTATYCAYGGYGAKGTTRCTTTGATTTCCAATTCTTGCAGASATAAAGACAGTAAGTAAAGTACTGCGAATGATGTGAGAATTKCTTTACTATGACTTGTTTCAATATTTTAAGTAATTTAACTAAGTGATTTGAACGAAAATTCCTAGAAAATATAGACGAATGTGCGTCAAACCCTTGTMAAAATGGCGGAGTTTGTAAAGATGGAGYTGACTCTTACTCTTGTGAATGTAAAGTTGGATTCAGTGGACAAGACTGCAAAGAAAGTAAGTATCTATTGAAAATTTTTTTAGCCTTTCTCTATCTACTTCGATGTTAGCAAAATACTTACCCGTTCATGGTAATTCGCAGACATAGATGAGTGTGCWTCAAACCCTTGTCAAAATGGCGGMGTTTGTAAAGATGGWGTCGGCTCATACTCTTGTGAATGTAAAGAGGGATTCTTTGGACAGGACTGTCAAGACGGTAAGTATCCASTGAAAAYGTCTTGAGCCTTTCTCTATCTACTTCAACGTTAGCAAAATAGTTACCCGTTTATGGCAATTCACAGACACAGACGTGTGTGCATCAAACCCTTGTAAAAATGGCGGAGTTTGTAAATATGGARTCGASTCTTACTCTTGTGGATGTAAAGAGGGATTTGATGGAAAGAACTGCGAAAAAAGTTAGTAATCTCTAAGAATGTTCTTAGCTTCATCTACACTGACTATATTTCAATGTGGACAAACCAGTAACTAGWATAAGTTGTAAATTCACAGAAATTGACCCTTGCTCCAAACAACCTTGTCAAAATGGCGGTGTTTGTAATCTAGCCGATGGAGTCGCCTCATATTCCTGTGAATGTAGAGTTGGTTACAAAGGGAAAAACTGTGAAAACAGTAAGTAAAACGTTCGGGTATTTTTGGATTTTTTTCACTTTGTTTTTTCTTCTGTTGTGTTTTACAGTGCGGCTATCGGAACCGGGGCCACTTAAAACAAGTGGAGCACTAACCAATCATATTGCAGCATTGAGCTGAAGTTGAAATTACCGTGGGAGCGCTGCAATTTGATTGGTCAATGCTGTTATCAATTCTATCATGTCTGGCTTTTKCTGTCATATGATTGGCTCAGACACCTAAATTTGGAATGTTATTGTTTTCATACGTAAACGTGATTGGCTCGCTTTTTTGAGTGGCCCCGGTTCCGATAGCCGCACTGTAATTTTTGACCAAATTGGTGATTTCAGTTGATACAGACGTCGATATCAAGATATCGCGCGCGTCAGTAGAGGATTACGTGTTGGTGAAGAAGAAACTCCCGGSAATGAGCGCAATAACAGTGTGTCTGTGGGTGAAGACTAAAGACGAAAGAGATGCCAGTACTATCTTTAGTTATTCCGTGCCTGGCAATGATAATGAGCTGGTACTAAGTCGCCCTAAGAAACTTCGGGTTTTCATAGCAGGAGAGACTTGGTAAGTACAAAACAGACATTCTCTTAGTTCTCTTTCATTTTTTTACCTCCCATCTTCTCCCCAGGCAGGAAATGTTCACGTATGAACGTCAGTCAAACCAAATACTTCGCTTTACCAAAGCRCTGCTTTATAGACTGTTATAATGTAGATGTAATAGTACGCGCGCTCTGATTGGTTTAACAGCGTGATTTATTTCGCCGGTAAATGTACGCTCACGAGCGAATGACTCGTAAAAAAACTTTCTATAATATAAAAGCATACGCGAGTGATTTTTTAGGCCTTTTTTCGCGTTCTCCCAACATCCCCGCGTTCTTTATTTCACCGATAAACGCACGGCACCCATCCTTTATTGCTTACAGTGCGGCTATAGGAACCGGGGCCGCTTAAAGAAGCGAACCAATCACGTTTACGTATGAGCCAATCATATGACAGCAAAAACCAGACATGATAGAATTGATAACAGCATTGACCAATCGAATTGCAGCGTTCCCACGGTAATTTCAACTTCAGCTGAATGCTGCAATATGATTGGTGAATGCTTCACTTTTTTAAGCGGCCACGGTTCCGAGTGTAATTAAAAAAAATAAGGCTAACATAATCTAAAGAAAAAGAAATTGAGAAAGATTTTTTAAATCCACGAATTCACTGAATTAGACTTTCAGTAAAGATTTTCGTTTCTTTAGGAGTACTTCATTAGATGTAACGGACAATGTGTGGCACCACGTTTGTCTAACCTATGATTTTAATGATAAGATGAACGCAGTCATATATCTAGATGGGGTGTTTGAGGGATTTAGAGATTTCTCAAACACGATTCGTGGAAAAGGAAAGCTGATCATTGGACAAGAGCAAGATAATTTTGGTGGAGGATTTGATAAGAACCAAAATTTCATTGGTGAACTTACAGGACTGTATATATGGAACCGGGCAYTTGACAATCTGGACATAAGGAATATGAAGGACAAATGCGGTAAGCCCATATCGGGCTCAATCATTAAATGGAGTGACGTCATTTCYGGTAGTATCCATGGAGACGTTGCTTTGATTTCCAATTCTTGYAGAGATACAGACAGTAAGTAAAGTACTGCGAATGATGTGAGAATTTCTTTACTCTGACTTTTCTCAATATGTAAGATAATTAATATAAGTGATTTGAACGAAAATTCCTAGAAAATATAGACGAGTGTGCGTCAAAACCTTGTAAAAATGG